TGCAGCTGCACCGACTCTCTGGCTATTTCTCAAGACAGGACGTTTGCTCCAGTTGTTCCCTTTCCCCGGGCTAGTGCCCTTACCTTTATTTCTTGGCTCAAATACCCTTTAGTAAGCCAATGTGGACTTCACTGAAAGAGAACACTATTTGGAATTACAGTCTTTTCCTATTGTGCCCAATCCTCCTTTTTTTTTTCTACTCTTTTCCCCTCAAGAGTGTACACTTTCTAGCATCAAAGTGATGTATGTCAGATTATTCATTGCCTCTCAGTCTCACGTAGAGATTAAGCTCCACAGAGCCAAGGGCCTTCTTTTAACCTGAGATTTTAGAGCAGTGGCTGTACATGGTAGGCATTCAAAAATGTGTTGAATGAGTCTTTGTAGGGTAGTTGAAGTCTCAGAGATGGAGTGAGCTCATCTTTCTCTGTATTAACTCTTTATACACACTGTTTGTCCAATGTTTTTGTTCTAAATCATTTTTGCTTATGTATCAGTCTTTCTTACTCCTGAGCCAGGATCTCCTTACAGATTTTTATGTGTCTCTTGGCGGAAATAAGTATAATGTCTTTTATGTAGTAAAAGATCAAATCATGCCAGCACAAAGGTGCTGAATACATAGATTTCTCTGACATCAAATTACTAGCTCTGCAAATTAGTTATTTTTTCAAAAGTCATCAACCTCTACCCTAAGTATCTGTATATAAACACTCACTAATTGAGATAATTTGAAACCATTTTTTCACATATTTGCTTAATTAGCCTGCAGTGACCTCTGCAGAAACACTGGTCTGTGATGATCATAAGAGGTAGTTTTTTGGCATGGACACCACAGCATCAAAGGGTCAGCTGGAGCTAAGGAAAGCAATAACACAACTGGTTTTAATTACTCCTGACAGGCAGCTGAATATATTGGACACAGGGCTTCTCCTCAATACATCACTCAAAAAGGCCAGTTAGAGAAAATGATGGAGAGAGAAAATGAAGATGGGACCAAAGTATGTTCATAATACAAAGCAGATCACCTTTTTCACAGGTGACCTTTTTCACAGGCGACCTTACCTATTTCCTTTTTTTGTTTTTATGATAGTCTGAAACCATTAACGTTGCTGTTCCCTAAAACATGGTGTCCTTCTAGGCTGGTACTCAAACAGTTCTCAAATCAGGGAGCAGGTAAAAATTTACACCCTTTTACGGATCACCGTACAACCTGTGGGGTCCTCCAAAGTTCATTCAGAATGCAGACACACTCAGAATTCATTTGTTTGTAGAGTGCAGGCAAGCACCTTCTCCTTCCATTCACTATCCAGAGTTTGATTAACCTCAGCCAGAACCTTGTTGTCTTGGACATGTTGTTCGTGGTAATGCAATGGGAACTAGGAGCTCCTTTGTTATAGCCTGCGCACCTTTTGAACACATCTCCTTCCCACCAGGTCACACAGCCTTATGGTTGTGGACACATGCATAGGAACTGAGAATGCTGCCCTAATTAGGCAGTGTTTTTGTCTCGGGACCTAATCTTGTTATAGTCTCCCCTTTGCCTGATTTCTGAGCTCAGGGCTTTCGTATTTCTGCGCACTTTCTGGTTCTTGTCACATGCATTATTTAATATTTTGACTTGCCATCTATACCCCAGTGCTTTTGGAAGTTCCGGAGCCCTTAGTTGCCCTTGCTTCTTCTAATTCCTGCTGGTTGCTTCCAGAAACCTGCCTTGACTCTTCCTACTCTTACCTTGCATGCCTTCACCAAGAGCTTTGCATTCCTGCAGTGCACTAACGTGGATGTATGGTCAAGACGGGCGGGCACTCTAGCTATGAATATCCTCTCATAGAGCTCAGAATCTAAGATAAAAGGCTGAGCAAACAGTGATGCCAATGGTAAACAGAGTAGAGCACAGACTAGCCAGCCCAGCAGCTGGGAGAGGCCTGAGAAAGCTTTTTTTTTTAAAAAAAAAAAAAAATAGAAATCAACACACCTAAGCATTCTGATACAGATGAAAAATTAATAAAATTAATGCCATCTAGCCTACATTTTAAAAGGTGTCATTCGTAAATATTCTAAGCCTTGCATCATGAGTCTATCAGGAGTGGCAAATCGGTGCAGCTGTGAGAAGGGGGTAAAACAGCCTAGGGAGGGAAGCCAGGGAAAGACTGTGATGCTATTATAAGGCATTCTCAAGAGCATGGAAATTCATGCTGAGCGTGAATGGGGTATCACTGAAAGATTATGCGTGAAACCATCAGATTAGAGTAACTAGCACCAAGGTGAGAAAAAAGTTCCAATTTCATGAGTCCTTCCCAACCAGTGCTCTCAAACAAAGCTGGTCCCTAGAGTCAGTTGAATAACTTATTAAGTAGATACGAATAATCTGATCCCACCTCATAGAAACAAACTCTGATGGAGCTGAAATTGAAAATTTCCACTGATGAATCTCTCCCGTTGGCTTGGAGGCAGCTGGGCTGTGAAGCAGTATTGGGAACAAAGTAAACTACCAGTTAGACCACTGGTTTCCAGATGTGCTGATAAACACAGCAGCCTGTTTACATTGCTTCCCTTGACAGAAGGGGCTGACCTGGGTGTCACTCTGAGTGTCTCCTTCCCACCATCCGACAGCACCAGCAAAAGAAATTCCTTGCTTGCAACCTCTAAGAAACTTCTTATTTCAGAAACAGACCCAAAATTTAACATAACCTCTTAAGGCTACTTCATCTGGTTTGTAGTCCCTCACGACATTCCTGTTTTTGTTTTGTGGTAGTTGTTTTTATCTTGTATTGGTTACTAGCAATACAGAGGTCTGCTAGTGACAATGTTTACCTTCATTTTTTTCTCAGCTTAGTTAAAAACATATTAAGAATTCAGAAGGTTTTATAGAATAATACAAATCTGAAGACTTAAGTAAAGTGGTTAATGATTTGATTCAACAAGAGAAAGGGGACTATTTTATTAAAAATCTAAAAGACTCAACAGAGTTAAAGTTGATCTGCTGGTAGCCAATGAGAAATCATATTTACACAATAAGGTCTGGAAACTGCAAGCAGAGGAGATTGGCAAACGTGTCAATTATGGAAAAGTAGAAAAGATAAAGGACAGCATTCGGGAGGCAGAGGCAGGCGGATCTCTGTGAGTTCGAGGCCAGCCTGGTCTACAAGAACTAGTTCCAGGACTGGAACCAAAAGCTACGGAGAAACCCTGTCTCAAAAATCAAAAAAAAAAAAAAAAAAAAAAAAAAAAAAAAAAANAAAAAAAGATAAAGGAATTGAAGTTGCAGGTATAAAGGAAATCCTGAAGCATGACTAATAAAAACTCAGAGACAGATATTGGGGTTTAACCTGAATGTCAGAAAAGCAAAGTATCCAGTCACTGGTTCTTATCTCTACCTCAGAATGAGACTGAGACTGAGAGCTGTCTCCTCCCATTTTATAATCCTCTCTAGTTCAGGGATTAAAGGTGTGCATCACTACTGCCTGGTTTCTACGGCAAGCTAGTGTGGCTACTAGGATTAAAGGTGTATGTCACCACTGCCTGGTCTATAAGGCTGGCCCATGTGGCTGTTTTACTTTTCGGATCGTCAGGCAAACTTTATTTATTAAAACACAAATGAAATGCCACAACATTTCCCCTAAATCAGTTTCAAAAGAAGATTCTAATCAGTTTCAAAAGAAGATTCTAATTTGTCCAGAGACACATGAAGAGTGAAGTGCAAGTTCTGCCATACTCTGTCTGTCTATAAGAGTTTACTCTTTAATTTCATTCTATCCTCTGTCTTGTTCTGACTCACTTTCGCTGCATCATTCCAGGGGCATGAATGGTCAAAGTACCAAGGACAGAAGTGATGTATTTTTCTGGGTATAAAAAGAGAACTATCTTGGTAATGCTGCATTTATAACAATACATTATAACTATTTTCTATTATTCTAGAGCTATGAATTTAAATATATGATTTTTTGTGGTGGTATATAACCATGCAGTAGATTTTCTTCATTTAAATTGGTTCTTTGAATTTCAAGGCCAAAACACATCACTGTGCTGCAACACAAAGGTGCTGAAATGTTTTAAAGACAAAATAGTCATATTTAAGCATTGTGCTAATAAAAACTGAACTTCATTTCTCTTTTTGAAAGATTTTAGATTATTTTATTTAAACTAATTCCTTATCTGAACTCAGCTAAGTCAATATTTAATCTTCATTTTATTTGCCTATTTCTTTTGATGATTCTCTTTCAAGGTACGTTCATTTCATTCAAGGAATGAGGAGCAGATGCAAAGAAGCAGGCACTGTTGAAAGCCAGTGGCTAAAATTAGATCATTGACAACATTTACTTATATGGTTGGGGTGAAACTCCAGTGTCTAACATTTCTCCTGAAAGGAGACACTTCCTCATCATGGAAATGCAAGCGTCTGTTATCAGATTACATCCATATTACATCATTGGTAGTAAAACCGTCCCAAAATAGAAAGTGAAACCATATACTTTTTCTGCCAAAAGAAGGCCCAAGACAAAATTAATAGACTTGTTTTCATAAGATTATTTGACTAGTACCTTCTTAATTAGGTGAAGATGTTTGTTCAAGAGGAGCTATAAGAGCAAAGAGGAAGAAAGTATAGTGTGGCTGACTCAGGGCCAGCGAAAGGGGTCTGGACTTTCTACCCCATTCTGTGATCAGTTGTGCAACACAAATCATCAGTGACCAACACAGTCTGTCATTTGTGAGTGCTGTTTCTTTTTCAGGTCTTCATACACGCTTGTGCAGTTCAGGTGTAAGCAGGAAGTTCCTTAAAGCACTTTCTTGGTGTTTTATTCCATCTCTCAGAAAATGTGCACACATCATAACGTGTGCATCATATTAGCAATAGTTTGTACATACTACATCATCAATCATTCTAGACACGCACCGTGTCCCTTCTTTCCATCTCTGTCTGCACCACAAGGGGCACCTCGAGATAGACCCAGTCCTGAAGCAAAGCCCCACCATCTGGTCTGGCTGTTCATTCCCACTGCCGATCAGGACCGTCTGTCATTATGCAGGGCAAACATCCACACTGGAACGCACTGCTCAGGGAAGCCCTCTTGCTTCTCCTGGCCCAGAATCACCAGCCCACTCTTCCTGATGAGGCTTCGGAGGATGTCCATGTCCCGAGTCACACTGCTGTCAGACAGGTCGAAGATACAGCCCTCCCGTGCTACATTGTCTTTCAGGATGATAACACCATTTTCTTTCAGGCCGTCTCGACAGCGCAAAAGAAATGCAAGCAGGTCCTTATCAGTCAGGTACCCTGCAAGTGGGGCCAGATTGGTAGAAAAAGACAAGATGAAACATGGGCAGGAGGGAGGTGCGTCAGAATACAAGCAAAGCTAAGAGTCAAGAGACTGTCACCTGTACACACACAAATTATTTAATAGCTTGAATTGACTTTGAATAAGACTTTGAAACTTAGGCAAAAAATAAAAAGAAACAAATCCTCTTTTAGGGGTTTTAATTCCTTGTCTTTCTATCATGCTTCTTGGACCATGTACCTGATAGGCACAAGATACTACTGCCCCTCCCAGGAGCCATTGCATGTCCTTATACAACATAATCACTTTTTGTGGCGTGTGTGTGTGTGTGTTACCACAATAAAATTCATTGCTGTTTCATTTCCTAAGGATTTAAGTCTCAGAATGTTTAGTTCTGTCAGTAAATAATGAGGATTAACCATTTATGGGCCCACATTTTAAGTATTTTCAACTATTTATATTTCTGCAAAGATGCTGGTTGCTCCCAAGGACTTGTTCTATCCCTAACAGTAAGAACTGCCAGGCTTGTACAGCAGTGTTAGAGAATATTAAGGGACCAGAGTTGTCAGGAGATCACATGACAGCTAGAGCTAACAAAAGCGCTGTAAGGGCACCTCCAACTCCATCTCCCCTTGTGTCCCAAGTGTCATCTTTCCTAGCTGGGAGATGGCGAAGGGCAAAAGTTCTGCCCTGAAAGACTGACCTGAGACCCACTGAATCCAGATGACGTCATATCTTGCTAAGTGAGGCGTGAATTCCTGCAGGCTGTAGCAGTGGTAACTTTCCACTTTGTCCTCATTGACCTGCAAGTAGCTCTGGGCTTCCAGGAGGAAGGACTCCATCATGTCCACCAGTTCAACGCTGCTGAAAACAGGCAACAGGACGTGCTTGCTGACCCTGCCTATTCCAGAGCCGCAGTCCAAGGCACAGCCAGTGCCCGCTCTCCCTGGCCCCTGCGGAAAGATACCTTGTGGGCCACTTCAGTATAGAGACTCACCTCGAGTCTCAGACATTACAATTACTTCTTCAAATCAAGTCGCTTTGGCTCAATTTTGCACTCTAAAATGTTTCATTTATGTCTATGATTTGATGTGTTAATACAAATGCACATAGATAACTATCTATTATCATATCAATATATAGAACATTTCATTTTTTTTCAAAAAGGGTAACTCTTTTTGCCAAATTTAACTCTTTTAAAAGAATTTCAAACTATTTTTTTAGGTTCCAGTACAGGCTAAGTCTCTCCAAGAAATGAACCATGGACAGCTCTATGAAGACATAGCTTTGGTGATCATAGCAGCAAAATGGACACATACAATAGGTTATTACTTTGAAAAAATGGTGGGTGGAGCCTATGCAGGAATTTTCATGAATTTCAAAATTGCTCTAAACATTCACTTCTTGGAAACATTCAGATTCATATTGGGATGAATGAAATTTTAGTTCCTCTAAGCTGGGTTTAGAAGTGCTCAGAAGCAACTACTCCTTTCCTATGAGTGGTGACGTTTGAGGCCTGAGCCGAGGAATAGCCATTGTCCCACTGTCTGTCTCAACCAAGAGTGCACTGTAAATATGGGTCAGGCAACACACAAACACTCATCTGGGTAGTTTCTTCAGACTCTTTGTCTCCTTTAATGCTGATACACACACACACACATACACACACACACACACATGCACACACACACCCATAATCAGAAACTACAAGTTCACAGAAAGAAAAAAGCTTTAAGTAAGGCTATACATTAACTAGGAAGGGGAAAGGGAAGGTGGTGCCTATTGAGAAATTAGCTAACATAAACATTCTCAAACTTGCTTCTATACAATTAAAGAAAGGCTTTGGAGTTATGAAGGAAGACTCAGCTGGTCTAAATTATTTAGTTGTGATTGGGACAGTAATAGGTTCATGCTAGAAATTACAGTAATAGGATACTTGGAGTTACCAATCAAGATCTTACGGCGAGAGCCTCCTCTTGATTTCTCAGGAACTAAGGATGAAAACTGCAGTTGGCTAAGGATCAAAGGTAAGTATGAGCAGGAGGAAACATCAAAACGTTTGCCTTTCAGTCCATCCAAAAGGCTTTCCTTATGCGAGAAAGGTACAAGTACAAATGCAGAAAGGAGACAATGATAATCTTTTTTTCCAAATACAGTAAGGGCCATAATAAATGACTATTTATATGTCACATGCTCTTATATCCACAATAATTACAATAACCAAAGAAACTTTCCTAAGGTTATGATGTTAGGGTAGGAGAGATGGCTCAGTGGTTAAGAGCACTGGTTGCTCTTCCAGAGGTCCTTAGTTCAATTTTCAGCAACCACATGGTAGCTCAGAACCATCTAAAATGAGATCTGATGCCCTCTTTTGGCATGCAGATGTACAGGAAGGTGACAGAGCACACACACACACACACACACACACACACACCACACACACACATATAGCATATGCACACACACATATGTGTGTATGTATTTTAAGATGATGATTCCCATTTTGGAGATGAGAAAACTCCAGCTTTTGGTAATGTACAGCTAATGGGAGAACTAGAATTTGAGCAAGAACCTTCTGAGCCAAACCCAGTCTACATTAGGAAGGGTACCTACAGCAAACAGACTGAAGATAAAGAGGGGAAATGTTCCAATTAGAACTCCCTGGAACTATGGTTCTCAACCTTCCTTAATGCTGCGACCCTTTAATACAGTTCCTCATGTTGTGGTGAACCCCAACGATGAAATCATTTTGTTGCTACTTCATAACTGTAATTTTGCAACTGTTATGAATCATAATGTAAATGTCTGATATGCAGGATAGCTGATATGTGACCCCCACGAAAGGGTCATGACCCACTGACGAGAACCACTGCTGGGGAAGATTCTCACCCTCGCCGATGATGACTTATCAATTCAGGTGTCTGATGTTTGGCTACAGCTATCCCTGAAACTGTTTTTAAACAGACACAAATATTACTCTTACTCCGGTGCTGTGACCCTCCAGCCTCTCTGACCATCCCCTAGTTGCTCTGTTGTGCTTCATCCAAAGTGGTTGGCGATGCCTTCCCTGTCCTGGCAGCGCTGGTCATTTTCTGTCTGTCACTCACAGGCAGCACCTCTGAGAAGGGATATTTAAAGGGTGCCCTCAGAAGCTGCTCTCTCCTCTTGGACACGATGTCTGGTGAAGCTGTGACTGGATTGAAATCGGATGCCCTTGATAAATGTGAATATGGTCTCGCACAATGTGTGATTTCAAAACAAGATGGTTTTTATTTCATTTTCATTCGTTGTCTTGCCTTCGTGTCTATGGAGTCATTGCAAATTAGTAAAAACACTCTTAATTATGCTTTTTGGTCTTATTATGCCTAATTGTTTTATTTTGGATAACATTATCTTAAACCCATTCAGTCAAGTTGAAAACTCAAATCTAAGTGCTTCATGGTCCTGTATAAAAGCTGTGAAATGCAAATCAAATCTTATCATTTTAGTCATCCAATCTTTGACAAATAGCCAAAAAACAAATCCATCAAATAGCAAGTTCTACACCTTTACCCTATCGGTAAACTTTACGCTCTACATTTGTGGATTGTCTAAAGCAAATACATTTGCAACTAGATTAAACAGCTTTTCCCACTGTCCCCTGTCACTGAGCATTGAAAGGAAAGCAAAGCTTTAAATTAAACAGCCTGCCTTTTCCCAGTTGACACAAGAATAAATCATGTCAGATACTCATATCCCCTAAGTCCTTGTTTCTTGACCTAGATACTAATTTAGCAGATTATTGAGGTCAAAGCACTAAAATATCACTTGTTTAAACAGACTGTTTGTTCTTAGTTCAAGGTCACAGCTTTACAATGAGCCTTGTCTACTAAGAAGGACTCTTGTGTTTGTTTGAAAGGAGCAGTCTGCCTCTTTTCCAACATAAATATGCAAGCATACAGTGTTTCCTTTCCCAGGTCCCTGGGCGTGCCTCTGGGCTCTGTCTGAGCAGAATCCCTGTGGTCAGCTTGGCATTCCTCATAGAGTGACAAGACAGCTGGATTACTAGCTAAGCTTCTGAAATGCCTTGGGATCAAAGTTGGCCTCACCATGAGGCAAGCAGGAGGGACTGCTTAGGCCAGGAAAGAGAAGAGAGTTGAGGTCTATAGTCTGAGGGGGTAAAAAATAGGGAGTTTTCTGCTTCATGAAACAAATGGGAAAAAAAAATAAGTTGTGGTTGAGAGCAAGGAATTTGGTGTAAAACTAACCTGACTGAACTGATGTCTCAGTGTGTGCTATCTAAAGGATTTATTATATCCCTTTAAACCTCAATTTCCACAACTACAAAGGCAGAACTGACAACAGTTTTACTCTTAAAGATTCTAAAGAGTAAAGAGATGGTGTTCCTAAAAGACCCAGCAAAATAACTGACCTAAGCTTTGGTCAGCCTGCAATGAACTCTGTAGATCAGGCTAATCTCAAACTCAGAGATCAGCCTGCCTCTCCCTCTGTTTCCCAGATGCTGGGATTGAAGGTATATGCCACCATGCCCAGCTGAATTATAAATATGTATGTATGTGTATACATACCATGAAATCAGTCATCAACACTTGTTTAAAAGTATTACAGATTATTCTGACATGTAAACATCCATGGTCATAAACCCTACACTTTTCAAAGCTTTGTGGCTGCGACTTACATCAGATAGACATTGAGTCTGACCGCTATCTCATCCTGAAAACATGTCTCTACTGCCAGACTCGTTACTCAGATATTGGGTGCCACAGAAGGACTTAGAATGAATAGAACTTCACTTCAACACCAATATGATCTTCACACTATCTTGAGCAGGTTGACAGTTTTACCCTAAAATTAAATATTTATGTTTCCTTTATCAAAATAAAACACTACCCACATTTTAATCAAATTACGTTTTATTAACCTGCAACAAATTTTGTTTGTAACTAGGAGTTTTTTCTTCAATAAGGCCAATGGCAGTTTTATTGTTTGGGTTAAAATGGCCTAAAAACTAAATAATGTTGCATGCTATGTGTTGAGTATATGATAAGACACCATGGTGTTATTACTAATAGCCACACATTAGATTTGTTTTATGCTCATTTTGTTGACTAAAGCAAGAGCCCAACATCTCTAATCTTTGATTTTCACTTTCTTCCACCAAACTGATTCTGTTGTTAGTCCCTAGCCATGGATGAGAAAACTGAAGCTAAATACATGGGAATATCATGCTCAGAGAAAGGAATTTGTACATTAGGTTGAAGAACCATGATGCTTTAAAAAGCTTAGAATTTTGGCTCTGGTGTCCTACTGTCTTGTATGACCTTGAAATTTCATCCGCAAAATGAAAGAAGCTTAATCAAATCCAGAGTTACAAAAGAATCTCATCTGATCATGTAATAAGCTGGACTATGTATAACAATCATAAAGAGATTCTATCATCTTTGCTTTTAAACTGTTCATAGGCACACATTTCTTATAGTTTAGAGACTTCGTAAGTCAATCTGAAGTGCAATGAAGCATGAGTTCTCGGCTATCTCCTAGGTGTCTGCTGTTTACCTCTGATTCTCTGAAGCAGATGTCTCTCTGTCATGTAATGCAGTCATGTCTGTGCTACTAGTTCACCTTCCCCCAAAGCATGCAAGACTAGCTGCTGCTACAATGGTGACGAGCCAAGTAGGATAAGCCAAGGGCTTGCTGAACTTCATTTCTCTGAATATCTTAACAGGCTTTCTGGCTGACCACTCAGCTGAGTCACATGGCTTAACAACACGTGAGCTCAGTTTGCAAGGATCAAGCATCAGTCAAAAAACTCACCCCAACAAATTTCCTAAGAAATTCACGAGAGGCCTGGATATCTGGGTTGGATAGTTCAATAAAATTTCCCATCATGCCTTCTTCTGTGGCCGGTACCTCTTGGTAGAAAAGTTTGGCTCTGGCATAGAACTGCATCTCACCATCAATGACTTGGCTTGTTAAAGCATACAGTTTTACTGCAAAGAAAATATTATCAAGAGTTATTTAGATGTATAGAATGTAATGAGCTCATTTTTAAACAATGTAATGGTTTTCTCAAAATTCCATGAATTTGTGCTGTAGATGAAAGGGCACTGATTTGATTTGATTTGATTTTGGACAAGGTCTTTACTTATAGCTATGCCTGTCCTAGAACTTGCTCTGTAGACCAAGCTGGGGACAAACTCACAGAGATCTGCCTGCTTCTCCCTCCTTAATGCTGGGATTAAAGGCTTGCACTGCCTTGCCCAGCATGGACAATGGTTTTAAATCAGAAAATCTGGGTTTGAGTTCTATCCCAGAGGTTTGCATGCTATATAACATTGAGAAAACCATTTAAACCCTATTTGAATTTTAGATAAACAATAATGTATAGTATAAGTATGCCTAAAATATCGCACTCTACTTGAGACATACCTATAAACAAAAACTATTTGTTGGTAAGGTCAGATTCAGTGTAACTTGAATCTTTTACAAAGCATGGAGCTGAAGTTGAGCAAACAAAACAAATTTCACCAGAACAATTAGAAGTAATTGAAGCTAAATTTAATACTCATTTAATTGTGAGGATTTTTATTTCCTATGGGTTCATTTTCAGGAGTTTCTTAAAGCTGTATTTCAACCCAGCAAGGGTTAAAATCAAGAGCTGATGTGTACAGGAAGATGATGCCACTAACCTGGGAATCCAGTAAAAAGAAATCTGCAAATGACAACTACGTATCAGATCTGGAATAAAACTGTTCAGACTGCAAAGAAATCATAGGCTGGAATTCGGCCAAAGTAGCCAAGAATCTAGGATACATTGGTAAAATTCCAAAAAAGACACATTTTCGTTCACAGCAACCAGAACTAAAATATAGTTAAAAGCTCTACATAAAATATACAATGGCTCAAACTTACTATTATCATGAGATGAAAACCAAAATAGGTCATAATTTTTAGTAGGAGTCAAAAGAAAAATAGTATTTAGCCTTAACTAGGAACATTTAGCTTTCTTTAGGTAACTCCTATGATTGTGACATTAAAGCAGGGTGCTGCTTGATTCTAAAATCAATAACTACATAATTCCAAAATCGTATTCTAAAAGTTAAAGGTACAATAGAAAGCATGTGACTAGAACTGTGCTCCCAAAACAGAATTAAGTCAAGATTTTCCATCTTGAAGACACTGAAACTAATGTTTGGGTCACAAATGACCATGGGTTTCTGAAAGGGTTACAGAAGTCAGTTTCTAAACAGATTATTTCCTGGAAATCAATATAGTATTATACACAGTCTCCTCAATGTATAATAACTATTATATGTGCATGTTAGTTTTAAAGTGCAAATCTTTTCAAGCTGCTTATGTATAGACTCTTTTGTCAATTTATGCACAACTGACTACTGAATGAGATGATATGAATGGGAAGTAGGGCTCTCATGATCCAAAGCCATAGTGACCACCGCTGACCCACCTCATCTCTTTCCTACTTTTCTACGTAGAGTCAACTGTACTTAAATCGCTTTGCAAATAAATCAACAAATATTTATAAATTCATAGAGATAGGAAATTCAGGAACCACCCTCCCAACATTATGATGGTTCCAAATTCTTCTGCAGTCTTCAAAACATCAAAGTAGAAAAGCACAATTCAGGGTCTTCTCAGGACTGAATGCTCTTCTGGGATTGTGGATTAACCACAGCTCAGTGGCTCAATCTCTCTCTCTCTCTCTCTCTCTCTCTCTCTCTCTCTCTCTCTCTCTCACACACACACACACACACACACACACACACACACACACCACTAAAGAGAAATTTGATACAACACATTTATGGAAATCAGAAGACAGCTTTTACAAGAATCAGTTCTCTCCTTCCAACACATGGGTCCCAGAAATCAAACTCAGGTCCTTGGGTTTGGCAACTATTATCTTTACTTACCTGCCTAGCCATCTCAATGATACCCCCACCCAGAGTTCCTGATTCAGGTAAAGCAACAGATTAGCCACAGTCATCATCAACTGCTTAAGTCAGCAAGTTAGTAGCGTATATTAAATGCCTTAATCTAGGAATGGGCATGGTTCATTGCATCAGTAACATTTTGGTCTCAAGTCAATGCAGAGCTCAGCGGGTTTCAGCTTCACTGGGGGGGCTTTTATGATTAGGGGCTTGAGTTCTCATTTTCACCTAACTGACAGATGCATTTCTCTAAGGCAGATATACGAGGTGTCATGGCCAATCCCAGGTTCTGCTTTCTTGATGGCTCCTGCATAGTTCGTGTTGGCTTAAATAAGGCAGCTAGTCACTAGCCCACATCTTTTTACAGTGGAAATGCATGTAGTGGTATTTTGTCACAGAATTGCAATGTCTCTGTAAATTTTGAGATAGTTTGCAACAAAAAATAAGACCAAAAAAATGCACTTATTTCCTGACCTATATTACCTTTAATTGATCAAATCTATATACATGCAAGGAACCTATCTCATTGTCTCATTGATGATGTAAGATAAATGTTATATATATATATATATGTCTATAGAAGGAAGAAAAAAGAAGTAAGAAAGTTAAGAAACAAGTAAGTGTTAAATTATCCAGATCAAATGACACAACTGAGATTTGATCCCAGTTTTGTGCAAACCTAACACCCATAGCTTCTTCATCATACACTTTGACTCAAAATTGCATCAGATAAGTTTTTTAAAAAGAAAGAAATTATCTTCTCTTCACTCTTTTAAAAAATGCCCTTGTAGCATTTGCACTACAAAAGTAACAAGTATCCTAAACTTTTAGATACAATATTTTTATTAATTCAAGAATTCTATACACTGTATTTTGATAATTTTTTCAGGTTGCACACTGAAGTGTGTAGCAATGCCAGTCACATGGCTGAAGTCAATTACAGTTACGAGCTGTATGGTGAGTTTGTTGTGGAAGTTCTAACTGTTTTAGTGAAAAATGTTTTTAGTAATTCTCATTTTTAACTGTACAATGAGTAGGTTACCACAGCTCTTGACTTCCTCTCAAAGACTGATCTTCTAGGAGGGTCAATGACAGAAGAGGAATATTACCTACTGAGTACTTATGTGCCTGGGATTGTTGTAGGCATTTCATAGGCAATGACAGAGGAATAGTACCTACTAAGTATTTATGTGCTTGGCATTGTCGTAGGCATTTCATAGTACTTCTTTTTAACCCCTTAAGCTTGGTTCTTAATATTTTAGAAGACTGGAGTTAGAGTGTCACTTCCCAAACGAGTGCAGGGAGAATAGGATTGAGTATAGTTTCACTTAGCAAAAGACGTATGAGAGGAGGCCACAACACAAGTTCATTTGAACAATGTTTTTGTTCTTCTAACAGATCGCCCAAAACCATTTTTACGTAGCAATGTCCAGGAGCCATAGAATCCAAGTAAAACAACTGACAGATAGTCACTGATCTCCACTTATAGGAAAAGGTGTTATTTTACAGGGCCCTTTAAGAACCGACAGACTAAAGACTTAACTGACATCTTTTTCTATACTAGTTCCTATTTGTTCATAAACAATCACCTTTAGAAAACGTTTGAACTCAAATCTCCAAATGGACCGATGTCACTGGATCCTATGAACCTACTCAGTGACCCACCCACCTTGATCCCCAGAGGTTCAGTTCTCTTCACAGGCCATGTTTTCTTTTGCTGTCAAACTGGAAATTACATGTGGAAAAATGTGCATTGTTGCCCACTTTAGCTGAGTGTCCGTTCCCATTGGTAGGTAGGATATGTAACAGTTCTAAAGTAACCTGGGATACAGATACCTGGGCTGGAATCCTGCCCTGCCACACACCACTGTTAAACCATTGACAGAACCTTCTAGTTCCTCTGTGCCTAGTTTCAAAATATATGATATGGGGAATAAGAATGTGCCCAATAGGATGTTGGGACAATGAGCTGAGGTTTAAAAAAAAATGTAAAACACTAAAAGTTGTGAGCTTGTTTCCCTTCTCCTGAAAAATCTCCTAAGGCAAACAGCAGTGCTTCATCTACCATTGCACACTTCAGTCCTCTGGGTCTCAGCGCTTGTATGCGTCTTCGGAGCTGGTCAGGGATGTTTGAGGAAAGTTCTCCATCATGGATCTTACCACAGAGTGTACTGGAATAAAACTGGGCATCTTACACAGATGGTTGGGGGATGGGGAAAGAAACAAGGGAATCAAAGACTGGTTTACTCTGGTGCCTTCCATAATTACCCCTAAACAACCAGCCCTCTGTGCAGACCCTACAGGCAGGATTCCCTAACATTTTAAAAAGAGAGGCTTTATTTTCATTTTTATGAAGTCTCAAAGGCATCAAGAACAAGGGAAGCCAAACACTAAAACACTTCTGTGGGGCTGGGGAGGCAGCATCTCTGCTGGCTGTTTTATTTCCAACCTAAAAGGAATAATATCCGCTACAGCCTGAAAACTCATACATATTAAGTTTATCGTCTTTGGTAATTCCTGCTCTAAAAAACTTTAAATAGTGACTTTAGAAGAAGCCTGGCACAGAAGAAGTAAAGGAAAATCTAACACCTACTGAAAATTGACTTTTTTTTTTTACATGTATACTGCTTGTAATTCTTCCAGGTCCTTGTTACAGTTTTGAGGAAACTGATGCTCATAGGTATTAATGACTTGCAAGAAGATTACTTCTCTTGTTTGTGTAATATAAGACCATAATACTTATTCAAATGTTATTCCATAACTTTCTCTTGCACTGAATATGACCATCTTGATCAGAAAATAAGTGTTTGAAATAATCATCTCTAAGAAGCAATTTTTTCACAGAAGTACTTTATGACTATATATATACTCATATCACCCATTATCTTATATTTCTGGCCAATGAACTCTAAAAAAATTATAATAATTTTGGGTTAAAGTACCTGAAGCTACCAAACAGGCCTTTAGCAACCGGTGTTATCTGGCTGATTATCATCCTGGATCCTTTTATGCCTATGAGGAATATAGCTGCCTTCATCATAATAAATATTGCATGTCAAAAAAAATGACAAGGATGGATTCATGTGTGCAACCAATGGTATCTCCGAGTTCATTTGTTACTGCAGCAGAGCCTAACCCATTCCAACTGATATTATTCTTAGTTACTGTTGTTATGCAGGTTTGTGGATTCTCGGGGAAAACTACCGTCCAGGCTGAATTCTCAGGATAGAGAAAATAGAGTTAAGTAATGATAAGTCCAACTTTGGCCTGGAGAAGACTAACTTTATTCCAGTTACACTCACTAAAGGAACCCTCCAAGTCTCTCAGAAGCCCTTGGTGAGGCAAGAGCAAAGACTGGAAACAGGATTTTTGCTCTGAACCGAAGCAGAAAAGTTGTACTTTCCCCTTCGTTTTACTTTGGGCTTCCATGGACTATTTTGTTAAAAAACATCAATTTTTGCAAATGATTAATCAACTATTTACACACTCATAAAGGAGAAGATGGATAAAATAAAACACCATAAAATCAGAATGATGACATTAGATTAAGAAATGACCAAGTATAACTGTAGGCTACGTGTTTCAAACTAATTGTCATCTGATTTCGATCAAAGATTGTTTTATCCCTAACTGATTTACAGCTACGTTCAGAAATGAGTCCCTTTTCTGTCTGGCTACCACTTTAAAGGCTGTCGGTCATCTGCCCAATAGTGACTTTTCTCTCAGTTGTCATCACTGGTAGCTTCCTCTAGTCTAAATCACACAGTGTTCCTGAAGATTCATACTGAGCACTAGAGCAAAGACTGTCCCCCCAGCAGGCAGTGATTTGCCTGTCTGGAGCCACCAGGGCATTATAACCCTCCCACAGATCACCCCAGGTTTTTTCTTAGGGTAAAGGAGATGCATATGCTTTACTGGGAAATCCTTCAACTTGCTTTGGCTACACTCTAAATTAACTAACACGTCTCTGAGCCTTTTTTCTTTCACTTAAAACTAAAATTGTCTGGAAGAAGTAGGAAACTGGAAGGGTAAATAGTGATATTTACCTGTTGTGTAACTATCAGCATCAATATTTTAGAAGCTGTATAGACATTTTCATATAAAGCTGTATAGACATAAGATGAAAGTATCTGTGGGGCTCGAATTAAAGAAACCTCAGAAGTAAATGTATGAAATGAGACTTTGATAGCTGCTAACATCCAGTTTCTTGAATGAAACACTAAGAACTATGTCGTTCTTTCCACAGCAGGAAACGGGGGCCAGTTCAAGTGCACAATGGGGCTTTCAGACAACCTTAAGCAAACAGACCAAGGCTGAGAAACAGCATTCTTGTTTTCACTTGGAGAAAATATAAATCAAAGAGACAGGAAGGGGGCACTTCACTCTTTAATCAGAAGTCGTTTCCTCTTCAGTGCTAGTTAGAGTTCCCCGAAGTTTGTTACCTCTACACGGGTTAAATCAGTGCTGAAAGCTTAAAGGATAAGCTTCTATTGCTCTCTTGTCCCACTTCCCTGAAAGTATGGGGGGGGGGTGGGATGAAGGCAGACTATTACCCCTCGATTTCTGAAGTTCCCTTATGATACTTGTGACTTAGGGAAGTTAGGGAGGCCAGAACAGATAGCACACACACACACACACACACACACACACACACACACACAACACACATAAACACACACCACCCATACAGAAACATTCATGCCCCAAACATACTTTGTTCCCTTCTTATGCAATCTCTGTTTTCAATTTTTGCTTAACATACTATTACCTTAATGTTCTTAACTATGAGCTACCTAATTTTCCGACTTGAGCACTTAGGAAACACACCAGTGACAACCCAAGAACTGAGTTTCTCTAAGCCTCACCCAGCTGACACCTAGAGCAGCTAGTCACTATGCCTGAGGGGGCGTGAAAACCCTAAAATAAAGCTCAAGCTTGCCAGGCAGCACTTGATCTTCCCCTCTCCATAAAAGAAAGTCATTGCATGCATCTCACCCGCTGACACTGGTCTGGATTCTCCATGGCTGGAAAGTCCCCTTGCTCTAACCTCTCTCCTAGACGCCCCGTAACCTCATACAACCCAAGTAGTCCCTTCTTCTCCCTCGTCTAGCAGCTCTGACTCACTTACCCAGGGGAATTTTTTCCAGCAGGTAGAGATAGCTCTGAAAGAAGTCATTGCGAATGGCCTTGTGAAGGATAAAGGACATGCTATGTCGACAGAGTTCATCATCGGTCTTCTGCCAGCGGGATCTAAAGGCAAAATGGGCTCCCAGGTGGGCCATGGGGAAGGGGGCTGATAATTATTCCTGCAGAGAAAGGAAGCTTGTCTGGCTGTTCCTTTGAATTACTCTTCTCTTCCTCAAAGAACTTGAGACTGTCATTTTAAACCAGTCCCAGGTCCATCTATATCAGGACAGGCTGTCATGGGTTGTAGGGGGAGGGATAGCAGACTTGGGGAGGTCAGGCTCTTGGCACATCCACCCACCGTCTAATTGCTTGCGCGACACTACTCCAAGCCAGCAGGTGCTAAAAGTAAAGATGGAAACAGGCTGAGCGAGATCCTGCTTCATCCCGGGAAGAGCACGCTTCCCTCCTTTATAGACTGCTTCAAACAGGCTCAAGCACTGCCTGCTAACACCCTGAATACTTGCTTTAATTTGGTTCTGAAATTGGACTAGCCTAATTTCCATTTCAAAGAGTTGTGAATATTTTGCAGGAGATCCTATTCCCTGATTTCCATTGCTCCTGGAACACTGAGTCCTCAAATTACAAGGACCCTTCAAAGTCATCTTAGCCACTCACATTCCTTTCATCAGTACAGTTTTTTTTCCCAAATCATTTCATAGAGGTGGATATGTGTTTCCAATGTTTAAGGATCTTCCAAAGGGGCAATTATTTGAAAGCCCGTTTTGAAATTGAATACCCTTCTCTATCAGCAAACTCCTCCACTTAACTCGTTCTGAGCAATGCCTATTCATGCAAACATGTTTGTTCCTTTCTGTTTACTACGAATATGATTTTCCTTTTAAGTACCTTTCTGTTATGTTCTACCTTTTGATTGTCTCTCCAACTCATTTCTCTGCCTTCTGCATGATACACTATATGTTCTAGAGGCCAACCTATGCTGACTATAGCAGCAGCCTCCATTCCCCTCTGATTCAGCCAGCAGAGAAAGCTGTAGGAAAGAGTAATGATGAAGTCAAGGTATTTATTCTATCCCCTGGCACCAGCACGTCCCTGGAGATACCACAAGATCACTAAATGCTTTTTAAAAAAATCTGTCTTCTCATTTAAATATCCTCTCCTAGTCCTCATTATCTCTCCTTTGATTTATTGCTTGATATCTAGGGACACCAGTGTGTCAGGCTAGTGCCTGCGATTTCACCTTTATTTTTATAAATAGTCCCCTTCAAAATCAGCTGAGTCCAATTTGTGACTGGCACCTGTTGTCTACATGGACCATGACTACTATTTTACTCTTCATATATCCCTAACAGAAAAATACATACATTTACATGTGTGTATGTATATGCATACATATATGTACATACTCCATATGCTATTGTATCTATACCATGTGTTCTCACTAATCCTATATACAGTGGACACATTAAAGTAGACAGCTTATAAGATGACTTCTGTCTTAGTTACTTCCAGCTGCTATAACATTACATAGAATGGGTGGCTTTCTCGTAGTTATGGAGGCAGGGACATCCAAGGTCAAGATGCTGGTGCACACTGTATTTACTGAGATGCCTGTTATTGGTGTCCCATTGGTTCTCTTCTCATCACATACTCACATGCCAGAGAGCAGAGCATGTGATCAAGCCTCATTTCTCATCTTAACAGGATACTAAACTCATTCAGGAGGATCTCACTTTTTCTGCAGATTACCATTTCTGTACACCATCTCCAAACCCCTTCACCTTGAGGGGACACAAAGATGTCATCTGTAATTGCATCTTCACCTTTCCTGCACATGTTAATTCATGCCTTTCTGTTATCCTTTTTCCTTTAATGTAGACTCAATTGGCTGTCTCAACTCAAAAGAAAAACACATACCAAAAGTTATGGGATGGCACTTTTAAGATGAGATCATAAAGTGACTGTCTTGAGCATCTCATTTCCCTTTCTTACTTATTTTCTCTGATTAAAGCCAACAGCCTGTTATGAACTTCCCTATGGTGTGGACCACATAAAGGAAATGAAGACCCCCAAGCAATCCAGGAGGAACTGAATCCATAAGTGAGCTTGGAAGAAAGCATTTACCAATCAGAAGTTCGGTTGTGACTTGATGAGAGACCCTGATCCAGTTAAGCCACTCCAGTTTTATTACCCACAGTAATTTGTTTTTTAAGAGCTGATCTTTGGGGGATTGTGTTACAATGTGCCATAGATTAATTTACCCTTCACCCACGTAAGCTTGATAATTGAACTGAAATCTCCCAAAGTTTACTTTTACTGGAAAAGGAAAGAATCATTTGTTTGGTTCTAATATATTTTCTATAGCCTCCAAGTGCCTCTAGATTTCCTTTTCCCATTGGCCATAACAGAAAGCATTCTGGTTGCATTGTCTCCACTTCTGACTCCAGGACTTGCTGAGAACATAATTTGTTAAACAATTTTCCTTTTGGTTCATGAATAGGTTCTTCCTCAGGCCTTTACTCAGATGGTATTCCCTTGGCTATGTTTTCCATAAGGATACAGATATGCTATCCATTGTTCTTCAGGCCATCTAGTGTTTTCTGTGCTAGCAAATGAAATCTTGCAAGTGAAAACACTATCATTAATAATTTTTACTCACTTAATTCTCAGAAGGACATAAGAATCTCTAATTTTCTGATTGCAGCAGGATATTGACATCCACAAAGTTTGCCCTTGAAAGCTGCACAGTGGAGTTACATAAAATCAAAACATATCTCATAAGGTTTCAAATAGATTTACAATTTTGTATTGGTCCAAATTCATAGCTACCCTCAACTACATGTGGGTCACCAGCTGGAAATGCTTGATAGATGATTCCAAATGAGAAGAAGGAAACTTCAAAAGGAATTCTTTCATAAAGCACAAAGAAAGACTTTTTGAAAGATGCCTTTTTATTTTTAATTATGTGTGTGTATGCATGTATATATAGGTATGTGCATATGCGAGTACAGATGCCCAGATTCTAAAAAAAGGGTGCCAAATTTCCTGGAGCTAGAGTTATAGTTCTGAGTCACCTGATATGGGTGATGGAATCTGAACTCAAGTCTTCTCCAAGAATAGTATTGTGACAGACTGTGATTGCACAGAGAGAAGCAAGAGTAAGTGACCTCTCAGCTGGACAGCCCAGGCTCTAGACTCTAGAACCCTTGGGGCAAAACCCAGGGCCCCTCCCCTATCCACCAAGCTGCAAGGGCAAGTCAGGTTGTTCTAGAACCCCTCCACCACACCCTGTAATCTAGAAGTCCCACACTGCCCCCAAACTACCCATCTACCAAGACCTCGGTGGCTCCCTGAGACACAGCCAGCAACTGCACAGAGTAGACCAAGTGACTCCATGAGCCACAGAAAGTGGCTGCATCTATCAGTCAAAGAGAGGATCCTTGAGACACAGACACCAAACAATTGGATGAAGAGGCTATCTGCAATAATTGTATTAAGAGATGGGTAGACGCCAATGTAAGAGTACCTTTAACAACCTAAAGAACAATATGGTACCACCAGAACTTTGCAGTCCTACAACAGGAAGGCCTGAACATCCCAACCCAGAAGAAATAGAAGAAAACAATCTTAAAAATAACTTCATAAAGATGATAGGGACCCTTAAAGAAATGGAGGAAAAGACAAACAAAAACACTGCAAGAAATAAACAAATCTCTTCAAGAATGTCAAGAAAAGGTAATCAAACAGCTAAAGGAAATAGTTCAAGACTTGAAAACTGAAATAGAGGTAATAAAGAAAACACAAACCAAAGAAATCCTGGGAATGGATAATCTTGGTAAACAAACAGGAACTACAGTTGCAAGTATAACCAATAGAATGCAAGAGATGGAAGAGAGACTCTCAGGTGTTGAAGATATAATAGAGGAAATATAGATACATTGGTCAAAGAAAAGATTAGAGTCAACAGAGTCAAAACACAAAACTTAGGAAATCTAAGATACAATGAAAAGACCAAACCTAAGAATAATAGGGATAGAAGAAGAATACCAGCTCAAAGGCACAGAAAGAAGAAATTGCCTATGAAGATACAAGAAGCTTATAGAACACCAAATAGACTTGACCCACACACACACCAAAAAGTCCCTTTGTCACTTATAATAAAAACACAAAAATATATAGAATAAAGAAAGAATATTAAGAGCTATAAAGGAAAAAGGCCAAGTAACATAAAGGCAGATCCAGAATAATAACAACCAACTTCTCAATTGAGACTCTGAAAGCTAGGAGGTCCTAAACAAACATTATGCAGACACTAAGCGACCACAGATGGCAACCCAGACTGCTATACCCAGCAACACTTTCAATCACCACAGATAGAGGAAACAAGATATTCCATGACAAAACCATATTTAAACAATTCCTATCAAAAAATCCTGACCTACAGAAAGCATTAGAAGGAAAATTCTAACCCAAGAAAGTTAGCTGTACCCCCAAATGGTGTGGGGGTTCCTCTGTGTGTTGCTTTTCTTGGTTAATGAATAAAGAAACGGCCTTGGCCTGTTAATAGAGCAGAACTTAGGTAGGCGGAGAAGATGGAACTGAATGCTGGGAGGAAGAAGGGTGGAGTTGAGACACCATGGATCCGTCAGAGACAAACACTTGGAATTTTACCCAGTAAACCACTGCCACAGGGTGATACACAATAGAGATGGATTAAATTAAGATGTAAGAATTAGCCAATAGGAAACCAGAGCTAATGGGCCAAATAGTGTGTAGTTATTTTGGTGCTAAGCTAGCCAGGTGGCTGGGACAAACAAGCAGCTCTTCCTTGCTACACACAAAAGCACAGGCAATTGATAATTTCATACCAACAAATCTTAAAGGGAAACACACACAGCCACAAAAAACCCCAAGAATTAACAATCACTGGTCATAATATTCCTTAATATTAATGGACTCAACTTACCTATAAAAAGGCACAAACTAACAGAATGGATATAAATACAGGATCCATCCTTCTGCAAATTACAAGAAACACACCTCAACTTCAAAGACAGATAATTCTACAGAATAAAGGGTAGGTAAAAGACGTTCTATTAAAATGGATGTAAGAAGAAATCTACTGTAGTTATCCTAA